TAAATAAATGTGGAAATAAATATATGTAGAAATAAATACATGTAGAAATAAATAAATGTGGAAATAAATAAATGTGGAAATAAATAAATGTAGAAATAAATAAATGTGGAAATAAATAAATGTAGAAATAAATAAATGTAGAAATAAATAAATGTGGAAATAAATACATGTGGAAATAAATTAATGTAGAAATACATTTAAGACATTTAATTATTTATGTCCCATTTATTTACCATTTTTATTTATTTATTCACGCTTTTAATTATTTATTTATTCATTATTTTATTTATTTATTCCAGTATTTATTTATACATTTACTTATTTATTTATACTTCTGTCAGATCTCGTCCTCCATAAACATACAATGTGTATATGTTTGTATGAGGTGGTGTGAGTGTGTGTGTGAAGATGTGTAGATGTACCTGCACTGTTTATCACTTTTCTTAACTATCACATATTTATGGTTTTAGTAATTCACTTGTATGGAATTTAATGATTATTTAACTGACATGTTTTACAGACGAATGAATATATTTAGTTATTTTGCTACTGCATCAGAGCTCTGTGAAGTCCAAGACAAATTTCCCACTGGGCCAATAAAGTTAATCTTAATATTAATCTTAATCTTGGGGCGCACGTCCCATGTATTGAGACTCTCGTCTCGAGTGGGAGGCCCGGGTTCGCTTCCACCCGTGGCCTCTTTCCGCATGTCATTCCCCGCTCTCTCTCCCTGGTTTCCGGCTCTATCCACTGTCCTATCTCTTCATTAAAGGCACAAAAAGCCCAAAAATAAATCTTAAGGGGGGGTCTTGAGAGTTGGTTTCAGGGTGTCTCCAACAAATTGAACAACAGAAAAACTTATTCTAACATGAGCACATGTCTTCTAATGCACAGTATGTTCAGTTCTATCTTTAAGGCGAGAAACGAGAACTCTCTCCACCCTTTGGGTGCGTATTTGCAAGATAGTGTTACACTTTTAGCCTTTGCACCCGGTGGTGACATCTAGCACTCCTTTGTTTGTAAAACATTACCCTGTCTTCTTACTGCAAGTCCAGGTTTTCTTTATTTATTGCTCTCAAAAGAACCTTTGGGCTTCAACAGATATTTCATTTCAATATACATTCTTTGATTGTTATTTTAAAATAATGTTTTTTGTCTTAATTTAAGTGCACAAAAAGTCCCTAAAACTTCCCTCAAATCCAAGGTCTCATTTTCAAATTATTAACAGTCCAAAGACTCTTTCAAAGCTGTACAGTCATGTCAGTTCCAGCCCTCTCTGTGTTTACAGCGTTCAATCATAGCTTGCTCTTGTAACTTTCCGAGTTAATTTTCCTTCTGAGCCACAGAACTGCAATTCAATGAATCCATTTAGTTATCCTCCCACAGCTTAACGACACGCATGCACTAATGGATTCAAATAAAGCATACCTCCCTCTTCATTATTCCATCCCTTTCCTTTTTGAAGTAATAGCTCTCCGTGTGCTGCATAATAATCTGAAATCAACTGAAGTCACTTGCATAAAAGTTATCCCGTTCTGTGCCCTTAAAGAACACCGGCCATTTTTCTCCATAATACACAATGATGTCCCATCGACAGTGTGGGAATGAGCTCTTGACTGCCAACTATTTGAGGCCAAGAAGACTAGAGATGAGTCAACTGCAAATAACGCCTTTGGTTGTTTCTTTCCCCGCCTTTTAGCAAAACCCAGAAAATGATCAATAATTCAATAATTTTCTTTGTGATAAACTACAGTTCACTAATTAGAACAGATAATATTAAAACGGAGCTTGTTTTGGGTCATTTCTGCCATGTGTCATGGATTATTTTGGGTAGTACAACCTATAAACCTTTACCTGATGTTTTAAAAAATGTGTAATAACAAACACATCTTGTAAAATTCTGGCTTTCCATGCTCATTTATAAAAACGTTTTACAAGTGTAACATTTGCAGAGGGAAAGATTTTTATATTTTATCATATCATGATAACATTTCATTTTAAATAACACTAAGGACGAATATGTATTTTGTGGCTAACTCAAAGAAAAAGACCTTCCAATCTATTGCAGCCATAAAGGAATGTTCAATAAAAGGTGCTAAGACCAAAAAAAAAAGTCTCCACACTTAGTCTCGCGTTAGGTTTGACTTATTTTATGAGTAGATTAAAGTAAAACAGTTGCCACATTTCTGAAATAGATGGCATATTTCTCTGTAGAAGAACAATCTTCTCTTTTCCCCGAAGGTATACTTTGGTTTTTAATCTAAATTGTCTCGACTTCAGGGGAGGAAGCCCTCCTCTGCTATAAAATACTGCAGGCAAACATTAGGCTTCCATCAAAATAAATCTGAGCAGTATTTAGACTAATCTAAATTGAAATGTTTAAAACGGCAACCATCAGGGGAAAAGTACACCACACGTACAACAAGAGTCGATTCCTTCTCATCCGTTTGCCCCCCTAAGAGCACATCTAGTGTTGCTTCTTTTTGTGTTCCTTTCCCCCCCACTGTGAGCTGAGATGGACATTATAACGTTGACTGCACTCGGAGCTGACACACTTATGATCTACCTGTGGCCGATGACCCCAGCTTGACAGCTCAAACATATTTGTACTTTAGAACCAGGTAATGGGTCAATCTTTGAACTTTTTGAAGTTTGACCCTGGGGTCTCCACATGAACACAACTGAAGTGCACAGCCGTGGAGTGGGGGTCGGGGATTTAGACATTGTGGAGCTGTACCGGGGCCACAGCTTGTTTACCATTTCATTATTTTGCTCCGCATCAGAAATGCAGCGTCGGGGCCTTCCTGCATCTGTGCCATGTTGCTTCCCTCCTTTAAAAAACAGCTTGTAAGAGAGGAATTAACTTTTATTAGTGGCTTGTAAATGATGCAATTTTAACCCAAAAATGCAAGAAAGAGCCTCCGCTTGAATAGGTGCCTTCTCAGTATGTAAACACAGAGTACAAGGAGACTATGACGTCTTCTTTTAGATTAAAAAGATAACAAAAACTTAAGATTTAATGTAGCTTAACTGTCTATAGTGACTGCTACTATGAGAAGTTGACCTGACACTTCAAATCAAATGGATTTCAGCTCTAATCCTTTTTTTTTTCTTCCCTCTTTGTCAGTGTTCAGGCTGGGAAACACAATAAATTCCATTGAGGCTGCTAAGCGAACCATGCAGCTCTCTGATCGAGTGCTGCGCCTGTGTCTCACCGCGGCCAACATGACCCGCGCCCTCTACTTTGTCTGTGACAATGCACTGTGGGGCAGAAATGTTGGCCTGATCCGCGATATCAACAAGGAACGCTGGAGCCTAAACGCCTCTCGCTGCTACTTCGCCTCGCTAGTAATGAGTCTGAGCCGAGATGTTTACGTGATCCTCCAGTTGATGTCGCAGAGAGCGAGAGATAGACACTTCAGACAGAAAATGGACGCGCATCTCAACGAGAATCCCGAGGTAGCTGGTGTGGTCATCCCTCAGCTGGATGCGTTTCTCTTCCTGCTGCTGGAGATCATCAAATCACAGCCGGCGGTTGCCTTGGACACGCTGAAGAATATATGTGATCTCTTCATTCCCTTAGACAGGCTGGGGATATACCGGTCTAATGCAGGAGTGGTTGGGTTCTGTGGACTGATATCCTCCCTGATTGGCATTGTAACCCTCGCACAGCCCAAGTTTAAAATCAAACCATGACAACCAGGCTGAAGAGGACCAACTTCAGATAAAAAAAAAACAAGGGCTTAGAGCTACAGCTTTTTATAAAGGATTTGTAGCTCGACCTGTAAAGTTGAACCTAGGTCACCATGGTTCACAGAGAGTCCCACATATGACGGGACCATATGATAGCAGAAAACCATGCTTTTCTACAGATTGTAGGAGGCATAACAGAAGGATTTTAGATCGTCTGGAATTAAAGTTTTCTTGGTACAGATTTTTAATACGCTAATAAACTCATACACTTAAAAAAGAAACTACTTGACGTTTAACAGTGACAAGTTTAAGTCTAAGGGCACGATCACACTGGCAATCGGTACTTTTTCTAAGCTCATCCCTAAAGTCCAGTTCGCCCTGGCACGCTTCAGAGAGGTGTGCTGCCCCAAAGCACTGATTTTAAAAGGGAGCAGATCAACCTTTTATATAATGGTTTTTTAAATATTTTTTATTTAAAATGAGCCTTTTAGACTTCACCTTTGTGCATTCCAGTCTTCTCCAACACATCCCACACAACTGTAGTTAAAAGAAAGGATCCCTTACTGATGCTTTTGTACCCATCTTTTCTGAAACATTAGACTTTAATCTGAGTCCTCTGTCTTTCTCTACTCTCTGTTTTATCATACAATGCTGCTAAAGGATTTACCTCCTAGAATCTAGTGATGAATAAGCTGCCTCTCAGCCTTAAAGGTTGCTTCCAGAGGGGAAAATCAGAGGTGAGATTTCAGGAGTTTACTATCTCACCTGTGATTCAGTTTTTTATTCTGCCATTCATAGGACGACCTGACTCTTCATGGTCAACAGATTGTATTTAATGTTAACTTAAAATAACAATTGAGCCTGGAAAAAAAAAACAAATGAAGCTAAATGTTTTACTTCTTTGAAAATACACAAGAGATTTGTAATTATGTCGACAGTTAATATATGGGTTGGGAACTGTGTTTTTTTTGTGTTTTTTTTTTTTTTTTAATCTTTGTGACACAGACATTAAATATTTGAGGATAAATCAGAAACATTAGACTTCCTCTAGTCCTCTAATAAATAAAGTCCTGGAAGCTGCAGGTGAACAGGTAATTAATAATCACATAGTTAAAGTGAGAGATAAAATGACTAAATGTTTGAAATGTAATAAAACACTGTAAGGTGATTTGACACTGTTTGAAAGGTAAACCGCTAAAGTTTCTAATCATTGATCGACTCTGAGTTGTAGTGTAAAGATGTAACACAGCCGTGGTTCATTCATAAACAGAGTAACACTGCTCTCACAGGGAAACATGACACATTCATGAACTGAAAAGAGCTTTATTTGACCATTTATACTGAGACGACAATACACTTTAATTCTCTGAAAGCTTTTCTCAAGGGGATGTTGTTGTGATAAGCATCCACCAATAAAAATGGCAAAAAATATGTTTCGTTTCCCTTTCACTGAATGTTTGAGTTTTGCTGTGGAAAAAAAGTTCTCTTGACTATGTAAGGATGAATACCCAAAAAAGAAAAAGGACAAAGACATACAAAGCAATAAATAAAGAAATACGTTCTCCTGAATACATAAACTGCAGTGATTCATAATGGGTCAAATGTTAGATTTCACATTTCTATTTAGGCATCGTGTTCCCAGTACCAACAGACCAATTAAAACACACAGTCGGAAGTTCTGTTCATAAGTTTCTCAGGCTGGAAACTGAAACTTAAAACAAAATTCCAGGTCATATTTTCATCATATAAACGTGAATGCAAATGGCTTACAATAGGTGTAGTTTCATAACAGTCCATACAAACAAAGTATTTCTGGGAAAATGTATTTAAATATCATGCCATAGCCAGAACATATCATACATTTTCCCAGGCATCGATATCAACTCTGTTTGAGATAAAAATCCAATCAAAGCACTTTAAAAAAAAAGTGGCAACAGTGTGAAACTACAGATTTTATACTGCTGGCCCAAGTTCTTCTCTCTTCCCTGTTACCAATGTTGATTACATGCAGAGTGGGCTCTGCTCTTGGAATGAAAAAGGCACCTTCAGTGGTTAGCTCCTTAAAACATCACATTAAGCACTTGGGGAACCCTCTTTCTCCAATGGTCTGATGTGACATGTTCAAATGAATGGTACACTCTTCTTCAGTGTTGTTTTGTTAGTCCAGGGAATGGCTCCTATGATGTATTTTGTAGAACTACTCATGTTGTATTCATAAATGTCTCAGTACCTTTTATTTTTTTTTCTTCTGTGAAACAAAAATAAACGATTCTAAATGTTGAACGGGCCCTGTACTACTGTCTTTCCATACAGTTGAACCCATGCCTCCATTCCAGATCCAGTACCAGAACAGGACACACTGTTTTCATTGGTTCTGACTGAGATGTTTTCTCCTGCTGGGTAGAGCTATGAAGCACATTGACTAAGCTCATAAAAAGGCATTTTCACGAAAGAATCCACAAATACTGTCAAAGTCCTGGTCCTGAGAAGAGATGAAAACAGACAGAATAATAGAAACATTTGTTTAAGTGGACCAGAACATTCTGAATCCACGGTTTTCAACTCTTGAGATGAAATCCTCAAAATAATAATAAATCACAATCCTCCTAAATGTAGTGCTAATAAATATATAACTTTCTTGGAAACCTGCATATGTGCCAAGACAGATGACTATTCTTTGTCTCATCCTACGATACAAAAAAAAAAAAAAAGAACATGCCTTTGTTGCATATGAGCTGCTGTGTATTTATGCTCACCTAGTGTTCATACACAGAAATAAGAAAAGCAGATTCCTGTAATCATTCTTTCTAGTGATATCGGTGCCTGACGGGTCAGGACATTGGATGAAATATTTTTAGAGTTTATATTAATCTGACAGATTAAGAGACAACAACAAAGAAGCTAACACACACAAAAAAAAAATGTACTAAGACGTTCAGGAGGAAAAAACAACAACACAAAAGCACAAATTAGACAACCGTCCAGTAACTAAGATTTCCTTCAAACTAAAAAATTTAACTTTACCAGAAGAAGAAACGCAACATCTGATTTGAATTGTGCAGTTTAAAAACCAAGAACGTCATGTTGGAAATGTCTGATATACATTAAGGCAAATATTAAGAACTTCATTCTCCCAGTTAAGGCCATCGTTAAGACAACAGTTGTGAGCACAGCTACATTGATGCAACTTTCTAGAGAACACTGAAATCTGAACACTAATACGACTGAAGGCCACCGCTATTCAATGTGAAATCAAATTACAGTTGGAGGTTGTTGAGAGGAGTCTGCTTTTTTTTTTTTAGAGGATGAGTCTAAAAGACCTACTAGCACACTCTAGAGGTCAGCCTGCGAGTTACACACAACTGAACCAAACTGAAGGAGGGGACTGACCCACAATGCAACGCTCTCTGATTGACACATGTGGCTAACCTCTTTTTTTTTTTTAAAGGCATTTCTTCCTCACCCAGCAGAATGATAACACAATGCAATACTTGATTAATTAAGTGAATTATTGTTACTAAAGTCAATCCAGAATGAAACATGATTAAAGTCTTCAAGCAGAATACAGTCGATCAAACTGCTTGATTACAAATGACCCTGTAAGCTTTCAAAAGAGCATCTAGCGTGAGAAGTGTGAACTTGAGGTCGTTCATCTAAAGTGTGATAAAGCAGAACTGTTTATCAGTAAACAGACATGTAACCACAAGGCTGTAGAGGGGGATGTTAGTTGTGATGAAAGGCAGTTCATGGCAGGCTACATGTGGGCAACACCGAAAACTAAACGTGCAAAAAGCACCGTCTTGACAACAGCATTTTGGTACTGGGAGGAGTGGTAATGTGGCATTCAGACATTTCCTAGAATTGACACAGGACGTTGGCAGAAAAAGCTACATGGTAAAATATTCTTTTATGATCAGGGCCTGAGAAAAGCCACAAATGATGTGTAAAAAATAACAACAACTCTGCATGTTGAATTTAAAATCTTCCATTGAGGTAAAACTTTGTGGGGTCTTAAACCTGCAACATTAAACGCTTGAATCGATGATAAGATACATTTTTGATGTTATTTGGTCTGAAGAGAGCTCATGGCACATTCATCTTATTGTACCCACATTATCTTTCTTTCCTGTAACAATCAAATAAATGATGTGATTGAATGTGGCACGTCAACATTTGACTCGTCAGCCAGCAGTGATATACAGATTCCTCTGTATGTTTGATATAAAGACTGAAGTAGCATTTTTCTGTCCCCTAAGACTGATTGTACCATCAATTTAATACTTCATATAAATCAATGCTTTTTTTTTTTTTTTTTTAAGATCGGACAACATGAAGGTAGATTAAAAAAACACACAATTAGGCAGGAGAGGTCACATCTGTTTTTGCATTTCCGAAGAAACGATTTGGCTTTTCGATGTGACCGTTTTACAGCAGAAGAAAAGTCCAGCCATTCCAGCGATAATCACCGTCCGAAAACCAAAAGTATTAAAGGGCAACATTTGATCACGAGTCGGTGGTCTCAGCCCCTAAAAACCTCGCTCCATGATTCCACACACTCGGAGGAGTAAAGTGAATAGTGTCTCACGCAACCCCCCAGGACCCCCGCTGAGCAGTCTTTTGGGGTCCACAAGGAGTCCATTTGGTCCAGTCATAATCACACCCTGCTGAGGGATCAGGGCCGGGCACTAGGAGAGCTCCTGTGCCCGGTCGTAGTCTGTGATCAGGCCTTTGATATGTGACAGTTTCTGATGGAGGTACTGGCACCGCTTCTTCTCTTCCCGATACCCCGGAAACTTCTGAAAAAGAAAAACAATGAGCACACGTCAGCTTTAAGTTACAGACGTCAACATCTCATAAGATGGGCCCCATGAAATGACTTTCTTTGTATTTTTTTGTAAACAGTAAAACGGACTTGAGCTTGTATTGCGGTTTTCTAGTCTTCTGACTACACAAACTTTTTACACCGCAGGTCTCACCTACCCATTCACAATGGCTGCTCTGTAAAGTGACCATCAGTTACTAATCTGATTAATACACATTCATGCAGCTGCATTAGAAGTTCCCGTTGTGAGATGACCAACTCTACCACTGAGCCACAACCGCCCTAAAACAAATCCTTGAAAACCCTTTAACAGTACAAACATGATGATAAATTGTTAATTTCATCCTGGTAAATTGCACTTGTTTGCTTTAGAGGAACGATTATTTGTTTGTTTTTTTTAAAGGCTTTTTTTAAGCTCCATTTGATTGCAAAATGTGACAAATGATCACATTTGTCAGCAGTAGCTCAGTCTGTAGGGACTTGGGCTGGGAACTGGAGGGTCAATGGTTCAAGTCCCGGTGCGGACCAAATATGGAAGTTGGTCTGGTAGCTGGAGAGGTGGCAGATCACTTCACAGCTGAGGTGCCCTTGAACAAGGCACCAAACCCCCTTCCCCACCACCAGCTCAGGAGCGCCCGCTGTGGGCGGCTCCGTCACTCTGACATCTCTCCATTAGTGCAGGTCCATAGGATCCTGTTTGTGCATGTGTGTGTATTTCAGCCTATGTTGCATGATTAACAGAGTGTAAAAACAGAATTTCCCCTTGCAGGGATCAATAAAGTAAATCTTAATCTTAACTTTAGGTATGTCAGTAGGCATTTGCTATCAGGATGGAACAAGTTGACATGAACTGTATTCTTTCATCAACTCACTTGATGTTTAACTTCATGACTAAATTATGAGGTTGTCTGCAGGCACATGGCATGAAAGATAAGTTTGAACAGGTGATATCAAACTGTCAGCTGCTTTTAACAGGTTGTTCCTCTGAACTATTATATGCTTAAGATTGACGGACACTTTTTAAATAGTTGTGCCTCTGATATTTGAAATGATTGGAGATCCATGGTGCCTATCACACTGATAAGGTCAACGTTATGGTAAGGTTTTAATAAGGCTGGCTGTTGATTTCACATCAGGGACTTGTTCACACATGAAACTAGATGATTACAGGGAATCGGTAAATCTTTTTTTTTGGCCATTTTTGCCTTTGTTGGATAGGACAGATGAAGAGAGACAGGAAATGGTGGGAGGAGCGAGTGGCGGAAGACATGAAGCAAAAGGGCAGAGGTCAGATTCGAACACACGAATGCTGCTCTGTACATGGGGGCAGGACTTAACCGCTTGGCCACTGCCACCCCTGGAATCAGCACATCTTACTCTTGAATTCTTTCGATTTTAAGAGTTGAAATGTTTGCACGAGTTGTTTTTTTTTTGCAAACGGCTCAGCTCGTGGTGCTTTGACTCTTACATAACATACATTAACAATTTAAACAAATCTTACTTTCTTATACTTTCGGTACTTCTGTAGTATTTGGTACTCCATAAGCTGAAAAAAATAAAATAAATAGAAGACACAAACAATTAGGGGAGACATTCATGCATGTACTGTTTAGTGTTTTATTATAAGTAGAGTTTGTCGTCCTCACAGTACCTTGTACTCTTGTGTCCCCGGGGAGAGAGTGTTGATCTTTGAGCCCAGTTGAACAAACATCTCTGTGATAGCCCCGATCCGGTCATGAAGAGCTCTGTATTCGTCGTACTCGGCACAGAAGTCGTCCTTATACTGCTGACGCTGCTCCAGCCCTGTTATGCTGCTGTATTTTCTGAATGAAAAAAAGAAGACAGATCGACACATTTGAATACCACAAAGCTGTTATTTTTAAAAAAAGCAGACGTAATCCCTTTCAAGCAAAGTTGTTCCTCTATAATTCCAGCAGGTGGCACTGGAGAGTAGTGGTAGAAAATGGCCCTGACACGACACTGACTGAACACTGTGATGTGTTGACCAGATGTATGAATGTGAGCCAGAAGATGATATGTTTGTGCTGTCACTCTCAGCGACAGCTTATTTAGACATTTGTTTTATTCCCCCTTTATTTATGTGAATGTCAGGAAGCTCAACAAAACAGTTTCTCCTCTAAACAACAGTGAGTCAACACTCTGAAACTCTCAACTCCTCAGTGACAGATGACATGGAACAGAATCTATCGTGGAGCCAATCACGTTCGATCTTGGAAATGTAACGTTTGTGTTTCTCTCACATTAGATAGTCGGGCAGTTCCTCTGCTGAGGTTCCATTGATGGTTGATTTATTTCCCTCTTGGTCTGTAGGAAAGATAAACAAACAAAAAAGGTTAAAGTAATGCAAACGTGATCGTGTGCTCATCACATCAAGGCTAATGGATACATTTATCATCCATCTCAGATAAGAGATCTGATCCGAGGCAAGCGGTGACGTCCGCAGCGTGGAGCAGGAGGCGATGCCGCCCGCTGATTTGTTCGACCATAGGTCAGCCAGCTGTTTCTCAGTCAATCATCAACAGACCGGAGCGAGCGGGTGAGGACAGGAGGGCGAAGAGACTGTAACAAGCCTCACAACACTCACTACTCTAATCTAATGGGAATGTATGAGTTTCTCTTTGTGGACTTCCAAGTGCAGCAGCTATGATTTACTTTCTCTTTCAGCGAAATGAACACTGACAATGTCACGGTCAGGTGGATTTTTACATAGATCACTGAAGCACATTAGGATACATGCAAAACATGTGAGAGAAGACATTTACCTTTAAAATCTTCATGGTTCTGGTTCTTCAGGTCCGGACTGGTCTCAATCCAGACTGGTTTTAAGCGCTCTCGTTCCTTGTCTTTGTGCTTTTTGGACTTCTTCTTTTTATGGAGTCCATTGTTGATCTGTTGGTCGGTGCAGATGGTGTTGTTTGCGTGTGGGTGCTTGGTGGGGCTGGGCGCAGCGGGAGGCGGCTCTGGCCTCTCCAGTTTAGGAACAGTTAAAGGTGTGCTGATTTTGTGTGGCGAGTAAAGACGGTTCGGGCTCCCCTGTAGATGATTGTGGGTTTTGTCAAAATCCAGTTTGATGTGCGCACTAGATTGTCCATGACCGGAAGAGCCACAGACCCCGTTGGTGCCGTAGTCTCCATGAGAGGGCGACTGCAGAGGCAAACTCTGGTCTAATATTCTTTGTTTTTTGGGGGTCTGGAAGTTGGATGGGTCTGAGAGCAACGGCCGTTTCTAGAGGGGATAAAAAAAAAAAAAAGGATTTTTGGGAGAGAAAATGTATTTCTTCTTCTTTGGATTGTACAGTTTCATCATCTAAAGTCATAAACCTTTTCCTGCATATCTAATCAAAGTGTGAACACACTACTCAGCAGAGACTGACGACAGTAAACAGCTCCCACCTACTCCCTCTGGTGGACCAATCACCAGCAAGCGTTTAAGAACAACAAAAGGCTGGGGCTAAGGTTTAAAGGTGATGATGCATTATAAGATAGTAGTTAAAGGCTTTATATGTGATTTTTTGATCCAGCAGATGTCGCCCTTGAGCACCAGCATGAAACCAAAACAACTCGCGCTGCATTGTTGTGTTAGCATGTTAATGCTAGCGATCTTTATTATGCTGGTATCTTCACACTGCATGTAAATTTACCTGAAATGAGCGTGATCTAGAAACACAGTTAAGCAGTGAGTACAGTATGTTATTCTTCTTTTCTCTAGTCCCTCAATTAAACAACTTTTATACACGAGGGGAGGAGTCAGCCGGCCGTCCTGGCGATGTAAACAAAGTGAAGATAGGACTCTGAAAACATCACAGACAGTGGGACTCTGGTGTTACACCCATTGTAGACAGTCATGACTCACAGAGTTATTTTCAGAGGAGATACTTGGTTTCTACATTTAAGTGTGAAAAAAATCACATATAAAGCCTTTAAACAGAAATGTATGTATCTGAAAAGTTTGACAAAATACATTTAAAGAAACATGTCTATTGCAACAGTGTCTACATTTTTTTTGGAGGAGTTTTGCATATATCTGCATATATCTGCACACTTAATTCAAAACTACTCCCCAGTAGACAAAAGAGAAAAAATAACATATTTGCTTGTCTACACAGGGCCTCAAAATGTCTTTCTTAATTATAAAGCTAGAAACTCCTCACAGGAGCTGAAAAAGATTTAGCAGGAAAAAACACGAGTATTGTATTGTGTATTATAGTATTTGTATTGAGTAGCTGCAAAAAGAGAACATTCCCTATCTAGTTCAGTCTAAAAAAAATAAAAGAAGAAGGGAAACTGGATTCATTGGAGTTAAATAATTACCACAGAAAGACTCTTGGCAGGGCTGAGTTGTGAAGGAGAGTCCCCGGGAGTTTTGTGGATGGAATGATTGGACTGGGGACTTCTCAACTGGCTACTGTGGAGTGGCTGAAGTTTCCTAAAGAAGAAGAAAAAAAAAAAAAAACACAGCACCTTCAGTTGGACAGTAACATCGAGGTAAATGGCCTGTAAAGCTAAACAGGAAGCGGCAGTATGTAGGTCATAAAGCCTGCCTTGGCAGATCTGTGAGCAATTATCATTTATCATGACACGCAGAGGAAAAGACAGCAGTGGCAGCATAATCATTGACATTACAAATCTGTCAGTCTTTTTCAACCCCATCAAAGCTTATTTTGGGGGAAAAAATGCATGCGGCGTGTTTGGTTTTTGTGTCTCTGGTGATACAATCGACAGGAGGCAACCACAAAGACCAAACACGGCCCGGTGAGTAAAACAATAGCAGCAGACTGAACCTCTGTTGGACCAAACCCTCTTCTCTGTTAATCTGCTTCCTACAGCTCCTTCCTCAAACAGACATTACAAGAAGACACACCCCCAAGTTTATTCATGCGCACCCTTTTAATAATATGGTCCGTGTGTCTGAAGGCAAGAGAATACAAAAGTAAGACAGCCTGAAGAAGTACCCAATCCAACAAACGAATCTTGAGTTTACAGAACTTACAGGCGATCGCAGTTTTGTATGATTTGGCAAACGAGGCCACGACTACCAATTGCGAGCTTCTTACACTTAGCAGGAGTGGTGAACAGAGGGGGGCAGTGCATTCAGCCAACAGGATTTGCACTTTTTTTCCCAAAATGCTCGTGGAGCACATGGCCTGCATGTTTACTGGCAGGCAGAGGACACGTATGAGGGGAGGAAACTTACCCTGAAAAAGCACAGCCTTGCTCCTCTGAACTTTCAGAGCTAATGCCATTTGGCAACGCAGTGCAGGGGAATATTTTCCATCGCTTTGATGTGTCCATTTAGAGATTCATCAGAGCAAAGGGAGAAGTCATTTAAAAGCTCCCCCTTTTTCACCATGATCACAGCAGACTGCTACGATAACTCGAAAGGTTTCTTCTGTATTAACAACAGCGCTGTCAAAACGCATCCATCCCGGAGTCTTTTCTGTGTTATCTGCCCAAAACCGCCCACTTAAGGTTTAAAAAGAACTGTGAAGAACACTTCTTTTCTTTCATGCTAAAAAGTTGGATGAACGATGGATACCACTTTCAAATTTGTACAGTAATCATCATTATTTTTCAAAATGGAGTTCTGAGCTTTCAACCACAAAAAAAGCTGTTTGTGTCCATTTAAAACCAACAGTCAACATAATTCAAATGCTAATACCCAAACAACATCTTTTTCTGAACCCAACCATGTAGTTTTTGTGTCTAGACCAAAGACATTTGTTTTTTTCATTGTGATAGGTCAAGGTTTGTTTTTAGACACCAACACTAGTTTCTGAAGGTTTAGGAAAAGTTTGTGGTTTAGGCGATGCTAAAAGTCAACATGAACCCTCAAAGCAGACACGAACTGCACCACCTTGAATACTTGGCGTGAAAATCTTCTTTGCAGGAGGCCCTAAAGTAAGACTTCTAGGCAAAAAGGAACTAGCCAATAATAGCATAAAGTGGAAATATATTGGGGTAAAACGACCTACACAGTAGACCACCTAATGAATGTGTTAGATTGTGTTTGTTTACTCCACACAACAAGTAAACCTTGGCTGAATACTCTATGCCACAATTAGTTTACTTGCTGCTGGTGATAGCTTTGGCACCTTTAAACGGCTTCTTGTTTAATTGGTTATCCACAATATTGTGAATTATGTATGAATCAATCCACTGATTAGTTAAACTTCTACAGTATCTGTACCCACCTGATTAGGAGCCTGTGGATGAGTTGCTTCTCCTCCTCCAGATATCCAGGCCAGTCTCTCTGGACGTGTCTGTAGAGCTCATCCTTCAGAGTGTAGCTGTGATCTTTTGGGTTCAGTTTAGCAACCTGCCAAAAAACAAGCAGTTCCATTTTTTTGTTTGTTTTTTTAAAGAAATGATCAAAAAGAGGACAGAACGCAACAGGAAAAGAGGGCAGCTGAGGTCTTCAGATCACTAAACTGTGTTAACCTGGACTGCTTAACTCCACCTTATGTTTAAATAAAACACGACCTTTCTTTTTGGTAAACCCTTTAATCGTGCCCTTTCACAGTTTCATCCGTTTAAGCCAAATCTAGCCAAACCAACAACTTTCAGTTTTGACAGTAGTCAGTTGCTAGCTGGAGAAAAAAAAAACCACCCCTTTCTTGTCAAAACACAATCTTCTCCTTCAAAGACAATTTAAACACAGCTCTAATTACAGCTAACAGCGGCGGCACATTCACCACTTGATGTTTGCCTCGGGACACTCAAAAACTGTGAACGCAGGAAATACGCCTAAAGTAAACTTACTGACATCCCCTCTAAGAGTTAGCTGGTGGAAGTCTTTTCATAAGTATCATACAGTAAGAAAAACAGATGATTACTTTCAAGTTTCAGTCCTTGAGATCAACTGATGCTAAAAGCAGCTTTTAATTTTTTGCATCCGAGTATTTTGAATAATTAGCAACAATGTGTTTACACAGCACTATGCTAGGTCTCACCTCATCCAGCACTGAGGTCAGGTCAGACTTGTCCTTTTGACTTGCCCGCTCCCTCTCCAACCACAGTAGCAGCTCAGGTTTCTTGTAGGGCTTTAAGGCCAGGAGATGAATGACGCGATCCCTCAGGGGCCGGTGTGCCACAGGGCTGCTTACTAGGCTCCTCTTGTTGCTGGGGGAGTGCTTGTTGTTGCTGTCCGAGCCTGATACTAGACCCTGCTTCCTCTGGACCTTCACATACTTACCTAAGATCAAAACAAAAAGGCACACACAGCAGAGTTTTGAGAAAACATTTGAGTTAGATAAGGGCAGAGTTTCGGAGAAGTGAAAGTGAATCGGAAAGGTAGAATAGTGATAATCTAAAGCTGTATCTGAAGGGCCATGTGGTGACTTTCTTGAGCATATCGGACAAGTGAAGGGAGGTTATAACTGATCTGATAACAGGATTTACATGGGTTCAGAGTATCCTGTAATAGCACAGCCAACACATCATTCCTGATCCAGTCTTCAGGCCAGTGTTCCAATCATACCCTTATTTTAAAGAGAGGCAATCTAAAACACTTTCTTTATTTTATCCCTGTACTGTCATGCAGTCTACACAACAGATACAGTGCATGTGCTGTGCACTTTTAGCCAAGTCAAAAAAAGGCAATATATATACAAAGAGACTCTGAGCACATCACTATTTGTTCTATTTTCATGTGCAGAGTCAGTGTTGCTGCAAGTGGAGAGCAGTGAAAGTGGCTGACAGAAGAGTTCGCTGACTGCTGAGTAAACAGAGGAGCATGGAAACTAAACCACCTAACATAGAGAGGCCCTGTCTTCCTGTCGCAGTACTAAATCTGTTGGGCCAGAGCAGGGAGTGCTTATAGATATCTACCCTAATCTCATTACAACTTTAAGCCATACTTTGGAGGTTTCTATAGGACGAAGGCTAATGACACTTTCACAGGGACCTTACTGTAGAGGTGTCATATGTGTTTACAGGATGTGTTGCAAAACAGCTTGACAGCTCATGTTCTAGATATTTAGACTTTAAACATGTTTTCATGGGTTTCCAATGGATACAGTGTTCCTCTGAAGATATAAATAGTCGTGTTGTATCACCTGTGCAAAAGAAATCATGCAAGTCCTGTTGGAGCTTGTTTCAACATCACAAAGATTTTAGGCAAATATCCCTCCTGCACTGAAACAACCTGTACAGCCACATTTCAGACAAGCAGCAACTAGAACCATTGTTTGACAGTGAAATAAAACAGCTTGAGGGAAGTTTTGAAGACTCTCAATGCAGTGTTTATTGAAGATGTTTCCTGAAGTGGCAGTGATGTCTCACTTACGAGAACTGTCATACTTAATAACTGTCATAAGTTTTTCACAACATAAATTAGCAAAAAAAAAAACAACAACCTTTTGAGCTGTTATTTTACATCTTTAGCAGCATTTTCTACAAGAAGATAACTTGATATTCATGAAAGGTGAAATGTTAATATTTTCAAAACCTAAGGAAATTCTGTAAAGACCTTTTCAAACTTGTCCAACACCTGGTTTAGACACAAATCAGTTGCCCATCTGTCATGCTCGTTTCCCCTGAACGCAGCATAACTGTAAAATCACACATTGTTATCTAAATTGTGAACATTTTTCTACTCTGCAACCTGTGATTCAAAGTTGGTCTATTTTTCCTGATGAGCATAGCATTACTGTACCATAAAAAGACAGTCAGTCACCACAAAACAACTGTGTGCACCACTGTATATGGCACATACGATGATCCATAACTTGTTTAATTCTCTTTCTAACGTACTTATACACGAAAGGACGCTCATTTGCTTAAAAAGACATATTTAAGTATAATGGCTGTCCTCTAACAACATGTTTTTCACGTATAACACGTGCCAGATATGTTTAATTTATTTTGAGAGTCTATTTCTGCAGAAAAGCATGCCATGTAATGTGTAGGAACGGCTTCCAACAGATGACTTCTACAGCAATTACCCAAAACCATCATGTCTCCATTCATAAAATATCATCTGCAGTTAGCATTTAAAAATCACACAGGACCTCCGTATGTCATGAAGCCTCACGGCAAGATTTGTCATAAAGTGGCAGCATGGTCAATTTAAGCATATTTCAAGCTTCAAGTACCTTAAAATTAAAGAGAATTAATTCCATAGACTGCATGTTTATTCAGATCGCTCCATGTTAATGTGGCCTTCTTCTAGATGATACACTTAGTTCAAATGAAAGTCAATTAAACTCCAGTCAGTGTAATTACATTTTACGCAGAACTTCATCTGCATGAGACCTGTTAGCACATACTTCTGGCAAACTCAATCTTATAATTGCTGCTGGCAGGCAAGCTGGCCCTGTGCCTGCGGAATCTGGTCAGAATAAAAGAGAAATTACAAGAAAGAGCGGCATCTCTCTTGCACGAATTACTGCAACGCAGCACTTGGATCAATTATGTGATAACTTCCACGCCATATGGCAATTACCAGCAGGATGAAATGGTGAGAAGCAATGGTTCAGAAGCTTTCTGGGAACATGACAAAAAACACTCTTGTTATCTGTCCTTGATCCCTACGTGCTTCGAGGCTAAGACTACTTCAGCGCGCATACAGTTATTAAGTAAAAAGCTTACTCGGCCCCGGTTTGATTTCAATCGCTGAGCGGCTCCAGATGTCCTTCTCCACCTGAGACATGCGCTCCCGGGTCGTTTGGTAGGAGTCGTCTGTAGCGCAGACTGTGATCTTGTCCTGAATGCTGCCCTGGCCCTCCAGGTGGTCCTTGCCCTCCCTGTAAGAATAGGAAGGAGCAGAAGGAGGAGGTCAGGTTTACAAATTCTCTGGGTTTGCTCTGTTAAATTGCCGGTTTCTTTTGGCTGTCATACAGTCATATTCGAGGCTGTGTCATAAGGGTTAAGACCAATAAAAAGGCTCCAATTCGACCATTTCACCAAACACTTTAAAAGCTGCAACGCCTCAGACACTATCCCTCTGTTCTCGATCATTACCGGTCACACCTTTGTGGTCAGTTTGTGGCACGTCAGCCCTGGGTGTGTTATTGTAGTCTTGTTTGAAAGTGCCCGACAGCGGTCCTTTCTGTTGTAGTACTGAAGAGACACGCCACTGTTCAGTGAAGCCCCGCGGTCACAGCCGAGCCCGACACTAAATTTATTACAAATTCCATTTGTGGTCGACTGTGGAAAGAGTTATTTGTGCTATACTCACCCCGAGACATACTGGTGAATGCAGTCAAAGCTGGACTGGGGCTTGTCTTTGCTGTCACTGGACAGGTAGAACGAGAAGACCCTGAAACCTTCGGGGGATTCTGGAGTCGGTGCTGGGATCTTTATGTACTAAAAAGAGAAACAACAGAATGACATCAGAAGGTGCAAAGTTTAAGAAGAGAAAAAATACATGTCAAAACATGAATCTAAGCCCAGGTTAGTAGCCTACTTTGTTTTTTTTGTGGTATTTTTAACCATGCACAGTAGCACTCCTAATGTGAGCGCTGTGTTATGTAATAAGCATGTTTTTATCACTTCAAGATGATCTTAATCAGCAGAATGTCAAAGTACAAAACATAGAATAGTAATAGTAAAGTAAATCATCAAGGCAGCTCCTCTTATTTCAACAATCTTTTATTTTCTCACGCAATTTCATGTGCCCTAAATAATCTTCCATTTGAGCCAATCACAGAGGCTATGTGGGACTTCCCAGGTCAGTGAGGATGACCTGTAGCCCGTCATGAGGGGGGGGGGGGGAGTCTGTCTGAAAGGCAAAAAAACACAACAATAGTGTAGCGGATAGCCTCCTCTCTGACAAACAAACCAGCAGGTTGAAGTCCTATCTCAGCCGGGGACGTAACATGTTACATCAAACGACCCAAAAACCTACTTCCACTAAGAGGACAGGTTACACGTCCCTTTTTACAGCAGCTACTCTTTTCTGCACCACCTGCAGCTGACAATAAACAGCTTACTACTTATGTTGATAGTTTATCCTTTATTCAGCAGCAGGCCAAACGTTATAGCCCCTCCTTTATCAACATATATGCATACGCTGTGTTAACACAGAGCTCTTTTACTTTAAGAATCAAATTAAAAACACATCGGTCAATCAGACCTGAAGCCGCCTCTTTACTTATCATTCGTGAGTGATTGATTATAAGCCGACCGGCTGAGAGCACAGTGTCCCTGGCAGATGTGGCAGGCAGGACTATAGCTGTCACAAATGCCCAGTCATGCAGCAAAGCCATAAGCAGTTTTTTTTTTTTACACAGAGCCAATGAACGGCTCCTCTCCTCTGCTCTGCTCGACACCCCTCCTCCTCTTTTAAAACCCAAACGAATGCCATTCACCCAGCCCCCATCAGCCTCCAGCTTTCCCTCATGTGCACAGGCCCACCCATGTCAACACAAAAAACTCAAAGCAGCCTACACGGCCGTGGACACTTGAAACACACAGCTGACCATTAATTCTGACCTATTTATGTTGTGAGTGTTCACATGAGACTGCGAGTCCAGCGTATGTCTGTGCTTGGCTTTTATGCTAATTAAGGACCATCAACCCAAAAAAAAAAGCATCCAAGTGAGCTGCTACAAGACAGAAGCCATGTCCTCAGGACTTATTACTTTAAGAGAGGGGAGCAGTGGCCGGCCCGCCTTGACCAAAATTAGAAGCAACAAGTCCTTAAAATGAGGTTACAACTAAGCGCTGCAGAAGAACTGCCTTATGGGTTTTTGTTTTTTTGTTAAATGCAAGTGTTGCCAAACAAAAGCATCAACATGTTGTGAGATGAGAGCACATGTTCACACATTTTAGCATCGCAATAGTACCACTAGTCCCCTCTTTTCAGTCGATGGCAGCAGTATGATCCCCCCTCCAGCCATGCATTAGATCTGCCTGTCAGCCCCGTCCATGCCACTGTGCACACTTCACATTCTAATTCTAATCAATGTCACTCAGGTCAGACTGTTCAGAGGTCGCCCCCGTTTTATTCACGGCTTCCTTCTCAAGCTTCATAACCATATGTCATTTAACCCATTAGTTTCCAGTTGCTGACTCCTGAAGGAGGCCTGTCTCACTAACACTAGAATATAAGCCTGGACATGTAAAGCACTAAAAGAATAAAAGAGTGTCAAACTATTAGTTTATTATTAGTTATTACTATTAGTTTGACACTCTTGGAAATTCAAGTATTAGTTATGCCAAAAGAGCTAGTTAGTTATATTATTAGCTTAGCATAGCAAAAAGCCTGGAAACAAGAGCATACCTGCCTTGACACTGGATGTAACACAATCTGCCTGAAGCGTACTGATGACCATGTAATATCTCATTTTTAAACCATACAAAAACAAAAAAAAAAAACATATTGTAATCTTTGCAATAGTGGATGTCAGTTCTGCTGATCATCAGCAACAAATTTCAACATGCAGCAAAAGGGAAATTAACAAAGCCCCCAGTGTAGCTAACAGTAGCCGAAAAGGCTTAACCAACATGACAGCTCTAGGCCCAGGGAGTTGCTAAAAGGAACTTACTCCAGATACTTTTGTAACAGTGTGTGTTTAGACAGACAGAGTGCTGACTAACTGCACAAAAAAAGTCTCTTTAAGTTACAGATGAAGAAAGTATTTTTTTCCAATGACAAATATTTCAAATGTAAATACTGACATTTGGCAGAAAGAGACGGGGAGACTTTTTCCCTTTTAAGTTCAACTTTTCTATTGTTAAGGAAAAATATGTTTTCTTATTTGAGAAAGGTAAATTGTTTGACTTAATTTGTCAGAGTCGATTGATTGGAAAAGCAAAAGTGGTGGTAACAAACAAAACTCTTGTTATTTAGAGAAGGAGATGCCTCCCTTACTTTACACATCACAGAATACCATATTAATAATCATGTTGCCTGCTCAATTCATAATAATCTCTCTGCTAGCCAACAAAATGTGGTTTGAACAGCCTGAGGTTTACAGCTTTAATTGAAACGACAAAATCCACTTGTGCTTATAACCGTTAAAAGAATAATTGCATATTTGATGATTATGGCACCCGCTCAGATGAGATGACAGCTTATGTTCAGCTTCTTGTACCGACAGGTTTGTAAATCCTGTAGCTGCTGTCAGTCACGTAAAAGGTGTGGATAAGACACTGAGTCATAGACAACTCCATAGGGAGGTTTGGTTCTGATCATGACGCTGTGTGTGCGTGTGTGTGTGTGTGTGTTCTTAGTCAGAGGAAACCCCTTACTCCCACAGGGGACATACAGGGAAGAGGGGTCAAATATCTAGCTAATGGTGTAACCCCGACGGAGACACGACAATAATCAGTTCATTTTCTGGAGACAACAAACAACAGACGTCAGTGAACAAACAAAAACAAACTCATGTCTCAATCCTAATCCTAAAAATAGTTCATGAGTGACATAAAGCACACACAAGAAGGGTTTATAAAAGGGGCCAGCAGAGCTCAGATATTAATAGCTCATTGACTTCCAGGTCAAAGACTTGGTGGCCATGTAGTTGACAGAATGTCTGACACACGACTTCACCAAACTGTTGTTGAAAGATTTTTAGAATTCTGACACCTAATTGGTTTGAAGTGCATTTCTGAACTGTTGGATTTAAAAGAATGAACAGAAACCAAAAATAGTATTTGACTCACATGTTGATTATGTTCTGACGATGAGGGCGAGGAATGAATGATGATATGAAATGAGCTCAATAACGCTCGTGACTCTGCCCTTCAACCAAGAGTTTTTGAAAGTTCTTTTAAATATTCAAGTGCATGCCAATGGAGGGTTTTCAAAAATGCACTTAGGATATTTATGTTTCCAGTATTTGTGATGCGTCTGTGGATTTCTCTACTCCGAGTGTGGTAGTAAATTAATAACTACTGACTTAACAGTGAAATCACCATCATTTGTCCGGTTTGGAATTAGGGAAAGCAGTCATTAAATTGCGTGTGCGTTATGTGGCGCTCAAATTATAACCACGTGCATCCTTTAATCTGATGATTAATCAATCACAGAAGGAGCTTAATGAGGCATTTACATCATCCGAGTGTTAGTATTGACATTAAAGAGGCAGTACTGAGAGCTCTGTGCAGTAATGCCCTCCATTGTAGTGACTCGAATAAAAGTTTAGCCGTTGGACAGTTTACAGTCAGAGCCACCAAATGGCATCCGCGGGGCAATCCTTAGCACCTTGTCAGAGCAGCCCCCCCCCCCCCCTGTGGAGAGCAGGACTGCTACAATAACTGCCTCTGTGGCCACATCTGCTACTCCAAGGCCTGTGTGTGTGTGTGTGTGTTAGGAGATGTCAAATACTTTCAAGCTGTTGTAAGGTGTGAACTGGACTGGAACAGAAAATCTTGGCAGGGGGGGTTCAGCGGTTGAAGAAGGACAAAGGACACAGTGGGTGATGTCCTTGTAAAAATGTCAACTTTAACTCCCAGAAGCATGTTTGAACTGCTCATCGTTTGACGGGGTTAAAACGAAGTTCTTAACCCTGCTATTTGGTGAAGGAAAATAGCTTCACTAAAAGGGATCTACTTTCTTTTCCAAGCCAAACATCTGCAGGCAGAGATGAGAGAGGATGGCTTCTCTCCCTGTCTTCTTTTTGCTCGAAAAAGGCAGGGTTCCCAGCTCTGGTATTTGGCGTGGCAACACTGACAGAGACGGGAGCAGGGAGCATGGATATGTGATTTACTCTGAAGTCTCTGCCTCCTGCCCCTGTCTGTACTGACACTAGTTACCATTGTCTTCTCATCTGAGGCCAGCTCAGCCATTGCCGCTCTGTGTAGCCGCCTGTCTTTTGTTCTAGCGTCTTCCCCCCACGAAGCTGAGTGCAATGGGCTGTCGGCCCGCCTGGATTATTCATGAACAGCGGGGACGTGTGGCTGTGTGTTGTCGGAGGGTGAAGAGAGAGGGGGGGGTTTGGGTGTGTGCGCATGGAGGGGAGAGGAGGGGGGTGGGGGGGGGGGGGTGTTGGTGGCTCCCAGTAGAGCCAGTGCATGAGGGATGGCCCTAAATAAGTCTTTCTTTAGGAATGTGACGAGCAACCCAGCAGAGAAATGGGGGGATGGATCCAGGATGAAGCAAGTGTATTTGTCGCTGATTTCACATTTATTTTTTGCATAAAGTTTAGATCATATTTCTTTCAATCAACAAGTTGGCAATTTAAGCCATTTTTTCTGTGTCACATGGAAAATGAGCAAGCGCAGTGATGTTGACAAATCTCTGTAAAACACAGGGGGGTAATATTAATTACTCCTCTTCACCGTTCAAAAGCTTGAAACACGATGACTCATTTGTACCCGAACCTAACGCGTGACATCCCTTCTTACTGTCTAAATCACGC